ACTACTGCTACTACTACTACTACTACTACTACCACTACAAATACTACTACCACTACAAATACTGCTACTACTACTGGTTGTATTACTACTACTGCTACTACTACTACTACTACCACCTACTACTACTACCTACTACTACTACCTACTACTACTACTACTACTACTACTACTACTACTACTACTACTACCTACTACTTACCACCACCACCACCACCACCACGACTACTACTGCTGCTGCTGCTGCTGCTACTGCTGCTACTACTACAACTACGACGACGACGACGACTTCCACTTCTACTTCTACAACTACGGCTACTACTGCTGCTGCCACGACTGTCACGACTACCAGTACTGCTGCTACTGCTACTGCTTCGGGGCTGCTGCTGCTGCTGCCGCTGATGCTACGCTACTGTGCTTCTCTTGCTGGCGCTGCTGGTGCTGCACCGAAGACCTGCAACCTGAAGCTCTCGTTCGGAAGGTGAAGTAAGGCCTTTTGATTTGCCTCTTGCGCATCGGAGGCTCGAAATTGAGTCATCAAGCATTCTGCTACAACAGCAACTCCTGAACGAGCTACCTTTGTTTCATGGCAAGCCATGGACATGCCGGCTGCTACCCCAGTCTAATCCTTTCCGTCCAGGACAAGTACCTGCCGGGGGCCAAGTGGTAGAAGTTCGGGAGGCTTCAGGATTTAGGTCTTCAGTTGTGCAGTCCTCCCGCGAGCTTCATGCATGAGCTCGTGGCTTCCAAGTTGAGTCTTGGCTCGTCGAGCTTCTCAAAGACTCTCTGAAGTGCCCAATCCTCCAGGCCTCAAAACACGTAAAGCCGAAGAAATCTCGACATGCTCGAGGCTGTCCGAGTTGGCAACAAAAGCCGCCACTGCCGGGCTGGTGCCTGGGTCCAGAGAGCCTCGCGTGGCTGAGGTCCAAGGCGCGAGGCTGACGGTTCCCGGAGTTTAAAACAAAGGAAGGACTAGGAGTGACTCGGATTCCGCGGCGTTTTTGTTGTCTGCCTTCAGCCAAGAGCAAGCTCAAGATGTGGAACTCATACTGTATGGCCTGTGAGCCACATGCAGCTCTCTGTGTTCCTGTCTGTGTCCGTTCAGATCCACGGGGCTGCTTTGAGCAAGGTCCAGCTCTTCAGCACTCTCCTTGACGACACCTGGCCGGGCTTCTCTGGCCAGGCGCTTCCGAAGTGGGCCACAGGAGTGCTGCCCACGTCGAGTAACAAACGGATTTTTGGTTGCAGCTCCAGTTGCGAGCAGCGATCTGCTGCATCAATTCCTGGGCCGCCTTCGACTTCTCCTCTACCTCTCGCGAAGCAGGAGCGCCGCTGCTTGTCTTCTCCTCCTGTCAGTTCTGCGAGCTCAAACAGACGGTGGACAAAGAGATTCAGGCGCGGACAGTTCGTTCCGCAGTAACCCACCTCCGCCATGTTTCAAACAACTGGCGGCTCCCGGTTGCTGTACAGCTTCGACCGGGTTCGAGGAATTACCACGACAAAGTTGTGGGCAACGGTGCTTCACCGAATTCACCACGAGACGCTTTGTCCGATGGAGATGGTCGGGTCAGGTGACTTTCGCTTCAACATGTCTCAACTCTCCACATGACATGGCATGCTTCTACGGTTTAGGGTGGTTTAGGATCTAGGATGTAGGCCCGGCTCTTTCGGGCTTTCTCTTCACCATGTCAGACTCGCCAGGTCGGTTCGACCAAAATCGAGGAGACGGAAGGCATCCTGGGATCTTGGAAGACTAAAGTGAAGACCAAGACCGAGGCAGAAGATGGGGCCCAAGGGGTATTTTATTATACCATGTTATTATACCGTTATACCATGTTATGCGATGCTCTACTATGTTGTACTATGTTGCACTATGTTGTACTTCATAATACTTTATTAATCTCACGTCAGACTATATTATAATTTGTGGCACTACCCAACTATATTGTATTGTACCATAATACACACTAACTGGGTTCTTGAGGGTCAAGAAGCAGCAAGACGTGCACTGACAAGTAAATGTCTACTGCATCGGTACCGTCAGTGTTTCCAACTCCCACTCATGCTTTGAAGGCGCGGCATGTTGTTGTCTTCCTCGCCAACACCAGCCGTTGTCCCAAAGCCAAGCTGAGACCTGCTTCTGACCGTCCCTTCAGGTGCAGGAGCATCTCTGGAACTGGACAGCGACATGGCGCCTTTACGTGACGACCCCAGGGTCGAATCAGAGCTCCTTGGCCTGGCAACGGAGGGGTCCGAAAGCAGCGCTAAATGCTTCCTCGTCCGCGCCACCCGAAACATGGCACTCGAGCAGTCCTCAGTTTCCTCCGAGGCTTTCCTCTGCTGAGTGGCTCTGGAGGACTGATTTCGTTTCTGGGCTTTGACCATCTCACCGACTTGGCCGGATGTTTGCACATGTCACTACCGAGCGGACGAAGCTGTGGTCCTGCGAAGAGGAACCACACTGAAGACCATGACGCTTCTTGGCTAGTGGGTTGCTGTTGCTCCGATGGGTTTTGCTGCAGCTGAAGGGAAGGAGTGGCTCGACAGGGCAAACGGGTGCCACCCCCTAAAGCCATTGAAGCACAACCATGCTCCGAAGCTACTTTCTCAGACGTAGCTTCCGACATGAGTTCGGCAGAGCTTGCGACCGTGGCATTGTACCTTTTCGCGCACGAACGAGGAACGGAACATTGAAGGACCGAAGAATCGTAGTCCTTGTCTTGCCCTTCCTCGGTGTCGGTAGTGGCGTTGCTGCCAGAGGCAGGCAGAAATCACAACTGAGGACACCTCCTGCGAAGCCACAGCAGCCACGCCCGACAGCGGAGTGTGCACCGACGACACATGGCGCTGATCTAGACTCTGGCTCTGTAAGGCAATCAGCTGCAAGCCAATACGGAATCGGATCGAATCCAAAAGGAAGCCTTTCAGCGAGGCTCGAGCTCGACATGACTTGGTTGGCGCGCAGGCGAAGTTTGAGCCGTCCCTGTGTGCAGTCTGCTTGGACCATGCATTCGCATGTCGGAGGTGATGTCCTGCCAGCTCCAGACATGAGCCATGTTCTACTTGTGCTTCCCGTGCTCACTGCAATAGGAAGTTGTGGGACTTCCTGTCTGCGTACAGGCTACGAGCTGGGGCAGTTGACTTCACCGTGAACCGCACTGCACCTGACTGCCGCACTCCAGCACGGAACAAGGACATGCAGGCACGGCTGCTGTGATGACTTGTATTGCTGTTGATGATGTCGTCACACCAAGGGCGCAGAACCCAACGGCTGAGATCTCTCAGCCCTGCTTGAACCAAAGGTTTCCTACAGTCATGCTGCAAGGACAGACGAACACAGTCATGGATTCCCACCGCGATCGGCAGGCAGCCCTGAGCTTCTTCAAAAAAGTGCACCTCCTGGGAGATTCAGCTGCGAACATCTTGATGGGCCAGCTAGGCTCCGGCTGCAAAGTTGAACATAGACGATCACTAGAGTGCGCCGAATTGGTCAGGGGGGTGTCCTTGCACAAAGCGAGATCAAGTGCGAGTGCTCCACAGAGCTGTAGAGACATGGCACAGAATGGAAGATTAACTTGAGCACAGCGTCGGGACCACGCTCGTTGCATGTCCTGTGCGAGGCACTCTTCTGGGCGGGGATACGCCAGGCGTGGCCAAGCCAGGCTGGGCACCTCCCAAGTCGTCACACCTGGCAAGAGGGATTCCTGCGAGCGCTTTTCATGCGACCTCACACTTTGCCCGAATTCCCAAAGCCTCGATTTGACGGACACAACTCATCTACGGAACGCCATTAAAGTGACAAAGTAGCTTGAGACTGAGATGTGATCCAGTCGAGCAGAGACAGTCTGAGTCATTAGGATGTCTCCCCGGCCCAGCCTCTTGCTGAAGGCGAGGTGTTCCAGCCCGTGCTGGCCATGTTCGCGCTGGACGGCGCCACTGCAGCCTCTTGTAACAAGAAGTGAGGGTGCGACAGGGGATTTGGCTTCGGGCTGTGCAGTTCATTCACGGGAAAATGAAGAAGCAGTATTTCGGCCGGGAGCCTCCAGCTCTTGAAGGCCTATATTGTTGAACTGGCATGATTCCTCAACGTGTCGAGACCGTTTGTGAGGCCTCGCGACCCGTGTTGGCAGCAGCTTGGCATGTAATGCATAAGCAGTTCGGACACCTTCTCTCCAGACGCGCTCTGCTTCGAAAAGCGTCGGAGAAGCCTGCTTCTTTGTCAGAGTCAGGCAGACATGGACGTGGTCCTGAGCGCACACCGACGTAGCCTGTTGGCTCATCGCGAGAGCCAGAACCAGCACTTGGGGAGGACAGGGTGCCTTGCAGCTGTGATAGGAAAATCTGCCATTTCTTGATGTCGAAAATATCTTGAGCTTAGAAGAAACCGGGCTTGCACCGTCCAGCCGTCTGCATTCAGAATATCCTCAGTTGGTTTGGGTTGCCAAAGTGACAGTGAGTACATACGTGAGTACCATAGTATGCTCTGACATTCCAGCAACTACTGTGCCGTCCAGCTCTTGGCAGGATCGCAGATGGCAGTGACGTTAGCTTGAACCCCTCGTTGATTAGCCTTCTCATCGTTGTACAGGATGCCCGGGTGCAAGACAGCGCAGTGCACTTCTTAAGCTGCAAAGACTCTGCAAAGAGAGCCGGCGATGCAGCTAAGGAGATGGCAAGTCTGGCTCGACAACTGACGTCCGCTGTCAGAGAACTGGAACGTAGCCTCTTCCCGCAAGAAGACGTTGCAAGGAACGGGTCTGCGATCTTGGATTACATCATGCTGCTTTGTGTTGATTTAGTATGGAAACATCGAATCAAAGAAGTTTCATTTGGTACTCGAGTCCGGTACGTGAGGCTTGTCCCACAACGGAGTATGGTAGTGGAAGATGCATTGCTCTCGTTGAGGCATGCTGCAGGAGCAGCTCACTGCTGCCATAGGGAAGACGCTGCAGCCCGTCGACTTCGGCACCTTGCTTCTGTTCAACACTCTAAGGCGGTGCAGGCGACCTAGGAAAGTTGGGTATAGTAGCCCAGCAGTTGCTTGGCCCGACACCCAATTATGGTTCTCAAGGACTCCTTGCGCCATCTTCCGAACTGTGCGAGGCGAGTACATGGAATTCCACACGGGCGAGCTCTTGCGCTCCTCGGTTCAAGTCTGCAGCGCAAGCAAGTGCGATCCAAGAACCCCGGGAGTTAGACAGAGACAGCACCTGCACAATGAGTCCTCGGCTAACTTCTACGACGCCAGCAAAACCGAAGCACTATGGCAGGTCCAGCATACAAGCCGCGTCCTTTCGTGTTTGCTGTGCGACGAGCACAGCATCATCCGGCCAGGACCTCTGTTGAAAGCAAGATGAAGCATTTATCTCCTTGAACTGGACCCTGGGTCCCAAGTCTTCGGTCCTGAGGAAGGAACCGTGAGCATCGAGGTGTCCCAGCAGAATTCTCACCAGGCGGGCAGCTTTGTGTGGCCGGTCAGAGTGCACGGTTTAGGGACACAGCCAAATGTCTCAGTGTCTAAGTCCATAGCCACAGCAGTAAAGGAACATCGGCAAACAGTACGAGGGGGTTAGGATCATGATTCTTCCTCGCCTATGCTGGCCCTTCCGCTCACATTTAAGGCTACGGCTAAGGGTTGTGTAGTTTTGACATTGAGGAACGTTTGAGGGTGCAGAATTGTGTGGGGTTAGGGCAGGGTTTGGGAGTGTGGTGATTTGGGGTTGAGGGGTTCGGGACTCGATTCAGTCAGCGGACTCGTTTCGTAGTTCGTCTGGTTTTCATGTCGCATGATCTGCCAGTGCCACTGCTCCCATGGTTCACATGACACCATTGTACAGACCACCCTGCCCCCCGCTGCAGGCATTCAGCCGGAACTATTTGCCACAAAAGCCTGCTGTGCATGATGCAGGCTATTTCCTCCTTCGGCTTGCACCGTGAAGCTGCCCCAGTCATGCGCCACTTAGCCTACCATAACCAAATCTCATCCCTGCATGCGTTTTGGCAGAAGCATCGTGCTTGTGCGATTAATCCGAGTCTTTGTGGAATTCCGGAGCCGAGGAATGCAATTGAGTTCTGCAGCGACGATCTCGTTCACAGGCAAAGGGTTGTGTGCAAGCACCAGCTGTTTCCTTGTACGAGGCAGACTTGTGAAACTTCGCAAAAGCTTATGAAAGGTGTAATCCCATTTGGGAACATTTCCGCATTGCTTCTGGCATGTCGTGTGGCACTGGGGCTTGCAGGTGAGCACTTTGTGCATGCTGCGGTCTTCCACCAGTTTGCCAGGCAGCAGAAGCAGGACCTCGCTCGGAAATATATTTCTACAGTGGTCGTGCGCTCACAGTATGTGCAGGACTTGAGACTCGTTGCGAGGGCACGCCAGCTGAGCTGCTTCGTTTTGGTCGTTGGGAAGATCATCTCTTCGGATGCTTGGCGTTACGATGTTCAAGGGAAGCATCACATGCCGTCTCGGCACACTACTTGGCGAATTCCGATCTCTTTTACTCTGCAAAACAGCCTTGGCAGTTGCGAGCAACTCCAAGTGAGGAGTTGCGACCTATGGAGATGTGAACAAGTTGATGAAGTGTTCGACGTGTGGTTGATCTACTTCCTGCAAATGATTGGTATGTTCAAGCAGTAGTGGAGCTTGTACCGAGTACTTTCACAGTCTAGGACCCTGTGTCCATGGGCAGCCAGTCTGTCTTGAGTGTGGTGATTGCTTCTACCGTGCTTCTATGCAGTTGGGCTAATGCCGATGACGGAGCATATGTTCAAGGAAGGCTGAACCTTCCTTTCGTTGGACACACAACGTTTGGGAAGTTTCAGCCGGGGGACTTGAATGGGCCATTGCTGCGGTCTACGGGTGCTGAACGCAGTGCTCGACCTGACTTCGCTGTGCTCGGAGTTCCGAATGACATGGGGACCCAATACAGATCCGGAGCTCGCATGGGCCCCAGGGGTATTCGGGAAGCCTCAACCTTATACCAGTTCGGCCACGCAGAGGTCTATGACGCAGATACTGGTGAGACCTACCAGTATGGAGATGTCATCGATATCGGTGATGTCGACATTGTCCACACCGACCAGCATCTGTCTTTGAACCGCACCCGCGATGCCGTGGAGCTAATCCTTCGGACTGGCGTGACTCCCTTCATTCTTGGCGGCGATCATGCAACCACTGCGCCCGTGTGTTCTGCTCTATCCTCCTTGTCCAAGCCAGTTTTTCTAGTGCAGATTGATGCCCACTTGGATTTTGTCGACGAGCGGCATGGAGTGCGCTACGGTCATGGCAACTGCATGAGGCGGTGTCTGGAGATGCCGCACATCAGTGCGATGCTGCAGCTTGGAATTCGCAGCGTGAGCTCCACAGCAAAGAGCAGCTTCGAAGATGCACATCGCATGGGCTCCACCATTCTCAGTGTGAGAAAAGTGCGAGAGCTAGGAGTTAAGCATGTTGCAAGCTTGGTGCCTTCTGGGGCGCTTGTCTATTTCAGCATTGACATTGACGGTTTCGATCCATCCATAGCACCGGGCACTGGCACTCCCAGCCACGGGGGTTTCAGCTACTACGAGGTGAAAGACCTTCTGAGAGAGATCATCCTGTTCCGAGCCTCCGATGTTGCTGGTCTGGACTTGGTGGAGGTTGCCCCGCCCTACGACCCAGCGCAGGTGACATCCCTGCTTGCTGCGCGAGTGGTCTTCGATGCGATGGGTTTTATAAAACTGAAGCGACAGCGCCCTACCCACACGGAGCTTTAGAGAGTGCAACCCGGCATGGCCACAGGAAAAAGTTCCTTCTGAGGTCAGCAATCACTTGCAAGCTTACCATGCCTGAACATGCTGACTGTAGAAGACAAAGTTGCGATGGGCCAACATCTCTGCTGTACCATTGCCGCGTGCTCACAAGCAGCAACTGGACATCTGCTAAGGACACGTTCAAGCCTGCAGCAGCGCTCATCATCCAGAACAAAGACGAATTGGCCCATGCCTCATCGGTCGAATTTAAACTGATCAGCAAGATATGTTCTAGTCATTCAGGGTGCGGCTGCGCAAGAACATTGGTAAAGTAGCAGGCAGTTGCCGCGAGCTTTGCGCGTGGGCTTGCCTTTTGCAACCACACACACCCCCGAGCCGGTTCCGGGTAGTGCTGAGGTCATACCGCTGCTTCTGGAGACTGTACCGTCGCCAAAGGAATTCCTTGACTCGACATTCGGCGAAAGCATCTTAATTACCCCAGTGACTACCTTGTCAGAGCACCTTCGGAGCTCACACCGGGCTTGCCATGGAGTGTGATTGCCCTTGTTTTCGTGACGAAGGATTCAGTCCCTGTCGCCGGAGCAACAGCGCTTCGCCAAAGCCTTCCGCAAGATGCAGCTCTCGAGCTCGCTCTTCGCTGTGGCCATTGTTCAGATCAAGCCGGCTTTGGAGCCTCAGATGGCCTTAAGAATGTGATTCTTTGCTCTGGAGACCTGATGAGCAACCAAGGAGAAGGTCATGAGCCTAGTCTTGGGGTCCCAGACGCTGAAATTTGCCGCTGTGATTAAGCGCCAGTGGCTGCTAGTGCGTGTGGCAAGTCCATCAGTTCAGGTGCTCAATCTTCCAGAGCACTCTCTGACGAAGGAGCCCATGTTCGTGTTGACTTTGAAAGATTCGTGAGGCAAGCACTCGTGACAAAGTGACATCAAAGTGGCAACATTGCCATACGAGGAGATACAGCTTACTCAAGATCTCATTGAACTCTTCGTGCGCTACCAGGTCAGCAATTCAATCTGTCATGTTACAGGCCAAGGCAGTTACAGGCCAAGGCAGTTGACCGCTGTATCCCAATGCACGGCAAAGTACCCCGTCTGAGTTACCGATGGCTGGGCGAGCTGACAGGTGGCTCCAGATCTGATGTCCTACGAGCCTTGGTCCTCCGGGGTGGCGGAAAAGGCCGCGCGAGTCACTGCGGCAGACAAGCTTGCAGCGGTCTGCGGCCAAGCTCGCGTGGTTCGCACATGAGCACATGCCAGGATGTTGCAGTGCGCAGAGCGAGTGAGCTAATAAGGTTAAAAGTCACGTGAAGTCCCTGTGGGAGACCATTGCTGCATCAAAGCAGAAGCAGCTGCAAGAGAAGCAGGACATCCGCTGCTGATCGCAGAGTGGTTGGTTTGAGTCCATCCTGCCAGTACAACCCAGCACTTGCAGCTCAGGAGGAGGTGAAGATGCGAAACATGCAGTCTTGCGGCGCCGAAGATTGCAGCATCAATGCAGGCTCGGAAGTACAGTGGAGAAATGGGATAGGCCCTGGTATGCGATAGACGGAGGTTCGATTCATCCGTGCACTTTCTGAGTACGACTTTCTGTGAAACCTTCCCGGCCCGGGCCTCGCAGATGAGCTGAGGTGTCTCCTGGACAAATTATGCGAACGATCAGGAGGCCATTTGCTCTCGTTTGCTGCAAGCGTGCAAAGACCGATTCTTGTGACAGGCGTCTTCCTTGCTTCCATCTTATAGAATCCAAGCGGGATGTCGTGCAGGAGTCGTGGCAGGAGTTGGGAGGTTACGAGCCGCCCACGACAGTTCAGGAGTGACCTGCAGTGCGGTTCAGTGGTGGGTTCTCTTAATTCGGTAGCAAAACCCGAAACGACGAATGGCTACGGGTGCACTCAGCGTGGAGGGTGTGCCAGCTGCTGGTGTTGCAGTGCTTCTGTGGCATCGTGCCAGATGAAGCTGAGCGGCTCGAGCGGCCGGATGGCCAAGAAGGCGGCGCTTACCCAGACTGTTGCTGTTTGTGGAGTGCACACTTTGTAGGTCCACGTAGGTCTCAGTCAGAGAGGAGGCATCCACATGATGTTCACTGTCGGGAAATCATTCTGGCGCACGTTTAGTCTACAGCCGCTGGCAAAATCTACGACTGCCCAGGCGAAAATTCAGGAGCCGGTAAATTACATGTCTCGGTCGGTCACGCTGGAGGCCCGAGCGACTTCGCTGTCTGATTCTTCGTGCTCCCTCCGAGCCATCGATGCTGAGACTTGAACGGAACGTGGCCTGCTCGTGAGGCAGCATCTCCCAAGGTGCTCGAAGCTCAGCACGTTTTGGCAGCACCGGCGTCAAGTCTTGAAGATGTGCAGAGTATCTAGGCTGCTAGGTGAACCCCTATTTTCTGAAGGATGAAGGCTGCAGATGCGCCGTCTGCGGAGCAGCAGCCTCCAGCACAGGAGACTTGAAGGGAGTGCCGTTTGAGTAATTTCTGGCAGAATTTCAGAAAGCACAGCCCCGAAGCCGAACATAGCTTCGAGCCGTAGTAGGACGCCCCTTCGCCTCCTCCTCCGCCGCCACAAGCCCGAGAAGCTGCAGAGGTGCTTGCAGGGCCCTCTGATACTCTAGGACTTCTGGGTAAACTGATTATTGTTGTCATTGTCAGTATTCTTCTTGTCGGGATGTTAAGATAATTACTTGTTAGCATCATTATGATTCCGGCGATGGCTTTCGTGTGTTTACTATTCGTCTTCTTGTCTTCCGTGATTGACATCCATATTTGTTGGTACTCTTGTTCTTATGTCTTATGTTCGTGATTGTTATTCTCCTCTGTCATATTGCGCATTGTTCCAGGCTGCAGATTCGGGAGCTTTCGACTACACGCAGCTGCCGCACCAGCTGGATGCAAATTACCTGAAGTTCGATTCCGACGCCGTGCAGCTTGCCTCGACCCCTTTAGGTGTTCCAACAGCACATCTGTGATGGGTGCATTTGACACTTGTCCTGAGATTGCGTCCGACGAAGATCGACCTAGCGACTGTATGGACGAAGCAGGAGGGAGATTCGAGACATTGTGTTTGATTTCATCCGTCAGTCCTGTGGCCGAAGATGCCGGCTGTGGCAAGCAGGAGCAGCCAGGCCTCCTCGGAGATTCTCGGAGCCGACAGCTCCACGGCTTCACTTGTGTGATTGGCAGGAGGGCAGGTTCTTCCTGCAACAAGCAAAGCCCTAAGTCGTGGATAGCCGCAGCACTAGGCGCCCACCGGCATGGTTCAGCTTTGAGGATAATTCTGAACTCAGCCTCCGTCTACCAAGCAGTGTTGATTTCTCGAGGCTTAGAGAAGCAGACCAGCGGGCAGAGACCAACAAGGACGGAATTCCGAAAATGATGTGCTGCAGGATTTTAGAAGCATTTATGCTTGCTCGCGCCTAGCGTGGACCTGGCCCGATTTTTTGAAAGCAAGGAGCCAGAGAGCCCTAACCCCCTTATCCCCAAGCTCGAAAGAGACAAAAGCCGACCATTGGGGAGGCCTTTGATCTTCTCGATGCACTCAGCCGCTCCGGCGCCGAGGCGAAACGCAGCGACCGGCGACTGCTTGAGATTTGAGTGTGGGCGTTGCTTGACATTGCGATTTTGCGGGAGGCTAAGCGCATATAGTGTGTCAACGTTTCTCCAATTGGCGTCGACTTGGTATTCTGTCACCATAGTATGATGCAAGAACCGCCTGGACAGCATTATTTCCAACCCCTGGAAGTGTTTTTCGCTCATTAGCAGTGTCGCATTCCGTAGTGGTTCATCGTTCAGGTCGCAAGAAGCATAAGTGCACAGTAGGTGAAAGGCCAAACCTAAGTCGAAAACAGAGTCAAGCTTGGAGCTGGGCCCTGCCTGGAAAAGCGAAGGCCTTGGAGTCTTCCTTGCACATCGTCGTTGCCGCCACCCGCCGCACTTCAAAAGGGGGTCCTCCTAGTCCTCCGTCTCGGAAGTGCTGAAGTTTCGCCTCAGGTATGTTGTGAGCCATAATATGTGACCGCATCTGAGGCAACGCACTGCTTCGATGAGACCATCCTCAACACCTTGGTGCAGCAGTCTCTTGGACTCACATCCGAATCCTGTCCTGCCATGATCTCCGCACCGTCTTCTGACCTGCAAGGAACAGAAACCCCATCGAAAAGATGGAGCGCCACTCGGTCCAGACAGGACCGTCCTCGTCTTAAAGTCATTTCCGACAAACACTGGTAACGTTCCGTGCCGGAAGCCTTCAACGCTCGGCCACACTCGCACCAGTAAGCCAAGCAAGCCCCGAGTTCGCCAAGGCTCAATGCTAATCATGGCGTCTACTCTCCATCGCACACCGCTGGACCAACTCATACATCCGGGAGAGGTGGATCGTGTGCGTCGCTGGGACCATACTAGATGTAAGTTTACCTAATTTTTTCAAGGCAAGTCGGACAATGACATCGGTGCTGGGAAGTCCGACCGAAAGAACCGGTGCAAATCTTCGACCGGTCCAATGCAGTCGTCAGTAGCACGTGACCCGAACAGGTTGCGATTGTCGCCTCTACATAATGCAGTTGTGGGTGCTGTCGAGGTATATGTTATATGATTTTGTCTTCAACCCCTTTGGTATACCAAGAAGCACCGAAAGCTCCAGCTGTTCAGCCGGGCCCATGCTGAGGTGCGTTGATGCCCACCGTCTTTGCGGGGTTCGCTGCGTCGAAGAAGCTGGCTTAGATAGACATCCCAAGAAAAATCCAACAGCTGGTTCTAGCCTACAGGCTGGAACACGAAAGCTAGGTTCGATGTCCTTTAGGCCTTTAGCCCTGACTCCGAGTAGTTCCGAGCGCCCAGCAGAGGGCCCTAGGCCGCTGAACGCTTCAGGGTCGCATTATGCGTGTTACGCTGTGCAGACCTGGTGTGACTGGCCACCGGGCCGCAAGACGCTGCAAGACTGTACAGGTAGGGTTCGCTCCTGTGGCGAAGTGCTTGTCGTGCAGAGATACTCGTAGCTCGTGCCTTCTATAATGCTATAAGTTGTGACATCTGCATTGTATAGATCTTGAAGTGAAATTGGGGTCTCAAGTCTCAAGCTTTTCGCCAGAGAGCTGCCCCAGCAACGAGCTTGCTCCTCCTCGGCGGGTACTCGAAAAATCTCCAGCTCGCTCCAAGTTCTTCCTTTATGTTCTCCGGAGCAGGCGCTGGACGGTCACACAATTTGTTCTCTGTTTGCTCTTGTTAATCAAGAATAGGTGTAGTGTCCCATGGTACTTCCGTCCACCAAGGTCCGACCATTGCTGACCCTAGACAGGTGACGTTGGGGCACGCATATAGACCGTGAGGGGGGGGGGGAAAAAAGCGGGACTGCATAGTAGTCAATTGGATGATGTTGTGCAGGAGACTACTCGACCGCCCGGAGAGCAGCACTGCGGCAACTTGGTGTGGAAAGAGTGGGTTTCGGAAGGAGCTAATAGGTTCCAAGAGGACGAAGTTCAAGTAGTACTTGTACTGCTAATATGCTTGATCAACATGTCTCATGCCTGCAGACACCCCTGTGCTCTTGTCGGTTGTCTCGCATCAGGCCTCTGTCCTTCAAGTTGTGATCATGGGCCTGATCATTATCTCCACGATTCTGGCAGCCTCGGCCCCGATTTCCGATCCTGAGTGCTTTGGATTGGAAGTCCAACGCAAAGCAGACCAGTCCGATGACCGGAAACTTCATCGCAAGGCATGTTTCTCGATGGAAGTCTTACTCTGTTTCCTTGCGTGTTGAGTTGCTCTTCTGCACCTGGCGCCCCGGGTCTCGCAACCCATAACGGCATGACACAGGGTTCGCTCTTCCGATTGGGTCAGCCTGGGCCCAGCAACCCTCGAGCGCAGAAGCAGAAGGATGTCGTTGTCAGTGCCACCGTTCTGTTCCAGTCTTTTCCGTGTGATAGAGGTTGACAGTGGAAGGTCGTCTCTACTCGTGGGTTGCGCAGAGGCCCTCATCAACACTGATGTCCTCAAGATTCCTCAACTCCTGCTTTTCACTTGCTCGTAGAAACGAAGGTCTTCGAGACGGTGCCGAGCCTCTACCAGGCCCTGCTTCCAAGAATCTTAAGTTGGCGTCTCAATTTGGGGATCCACAGGTCCAGGTGAGGCTCCTGTGATTTTTAGTCTATGCATCCAAGCCTTGCTTTAGGGAGACGTCGAGGTTTAGTCACTTGGTCCTGCCCCCGAATCTCCTGATAGTCTTTTCGGAAAGTTTTCCCTGCGAATACATGTATATGGCAAGTCCAGCCTTCTTTCGGGAGAGGGATCTTGGATCAGGAGCACATCCACATGTTCCAGCTGTCGGAGAAGGTGCGACGAGCGAGACTTGCCCCATCGTTGGTGAAGTGTTATCCCGGTGAAGCAACGCAACTGCCTGATTGCCCGGCCAGCGACTAGTGACTATGGTTCCACTGCTACAGACTCCATGCCTATCGAAGGTCTTTACTGCCATTTTCACTGCTGAAGTTCTTCTCCGAGTGTGGGGCCTCAGCATAGGCTTGGATCGCTCTCAGAGTCTCAGTGTTACCGGCGCTACCCTCCTCCCCAACCAGCCACTTCGACTACTGCGAAGACGAACCGAAATAACAAATAATCGGATGACAATAAGACAAGACGACTCATATAGAGAGTTGCTGATGGTCGCTATACTAAGGCCAGCAGTGGCACTGCTAGTCAGCTCTAAGTATGGGCAGTCCTCGTCGCCGTTGTCGTCGTCTTAGCAGTCGTCGTCGTAGTAGAAGCAGGAGTACCGGTAGTAGTAAGAAGCATGATTGCGATTGTGAGTATCATATTCGTCCGGCGTGGCATCGTGGCATCCTGACCTGCTTGAACAGAATTCAGCGGCGGCAAGCTATGCTGGGTCGGGTGTTCAGAAAGGGGACACAGGCTGACTACACACAAGAGGGCTTTGCTCAGAGCTCGGTGCGAGTAAACTGAGCATGCGCTCTTGTGAGTGTAGATGAACCCTACTGCACGCCCGTATCCCCGCCTCAAAGCATGACTTCTTTCCCAGGCAGCGTCAACCGAAAGCTGCAGGAGCAGTCTTGTTGACAAGTGAGTTTGGATCAAGGATAGGATAGCAGCATGCAGGTGTGCTTCTCATAGCAGTGCTGTGCAAACTCTTCGAAGCAAGCCATGCCAAGCACGTGCAGAATGTGCCTGATTTTTGGTTTAAGTCGAATGAAGGGTCGAGATCTTGCAGGAACTACATCTGCGCAGTATCGAATCAGATTGATATCTTGGCAACATCGTGGGAAGCCCAGATGACTATGTGCTCACGGCTTCCTCACAACGACCTCGATGGTGATGGCCTGTCCATCTATTTTGTGTGCTCTTCGTGGTCCCAGGCCGTGGTATCTGGAGAAGATTCTCGTTGCCACAATGCCCGCAGGCCAGCTCTCTCTGAAGCCATCACCTGCAAGGAAAAATTTGGAGCCGCAGAAAAGCAACCCAATTCACAATCTTGGTAAACGCAGAAAAATCTAAGCACTGGTCCTCCTCGCCAACAGTCTCCTTTCCGAGGCCATCGAAGCGACCATCTCAACAACATCGCTGGTTCCTTGAGGACGCTGCGAATGGTCCGCTTGGCGCGGATGGTCGTGGCCCTACTTCGTTGGAGCTTGGGTCTGGGCTCCCGATTCCGTGGGGAGTGTGGGAAGGAATGGTGGAGGCTCGTTGGAGGCGTCACTGCTCATCGATGATGGCAGAAGCTACTTACAACAGGGAGCAACACGAGAATCATGGACCAATCTTATACAGCTCTCAAGCACATTGCAGACAAGGCGCCGTCCCAGCTTGTCCCCACTGGTCATGCAGTTTTGCAAGTCTTTGCGAAACTGTCTGCTGTTGCCCACAACCCAGGTCAGACTTGTGCGAGTCTTGCGAATTGCGAAATTCGCCCGCCACTCCGAGGCCCCGGGCTGTAATCAACACCCGTTGGATTGGGATTTCCCCTGTCCACGATGTCTTTCTGACATCGCCATACATGGTCCGCCATGAACTCCATCCATGAGCAGGCACGGAAGAGTCTCGTAAACTGCCAACACCGCAGGTGCTCAGTGTGGTGGTCGAGAGTCTTGTTGAGTCCATCAGCGGCATTTGGGTCCTCGTGGCTTTTGCCATGGACTTGGACTCCGAATCGTGGGTCGTAAACGGACATGTCCGTCGGTCAGAAAACAACAGTTCCTAATCAGAGGACGAGGGCTCCCGACGAGCAGGTGGAGCCCTACCCCCTCTCCGCCTCCTACTACTCCCTCGCCTACTCGTACTCCTACACCTGCTCGTGCTCCTACTCTTACTCTTACTCTTACTCCTACTACTGCCCTACTACTACTACTACTACTACTACTACTGCTGCCACGACGACTACTACTAGTACTACTAGTTCTAGTACCCTGTGATGCTGAGGTTTGTTTTCTGTATGGGAGTTCCCAAGGTCAGCATGTGGGCCTTGATCAGTGCCACCGTCGTGTATGCTGTGGAGTTCCGATCCCAGCATCTCCGATATGCAGAAGATTCCCGGCAGGGGTGGGTTCGTAAGGTCAGAGCAGCCAGACACAGACTTCGACTCAATCCCTGTGGGGCTCTCAGCTCGCAGTGATCGTCTGCATAAGCCTCATCCATGCTCTCCAAACATCTACAACTGTGGATCCAGGCAGCCATGTGGTGGTCCATGGCCACCATCTCCACCGTTGGCTATGGGGACATGGCGCATGGATTCAATTGGGAGCGCTGTCAACGCATCATGCAATCTGGTGAAGTAATCGAGGTTCCTGAAACCGCAGCCGGAAAGGTCGTGGGTGGAGACAGGCACTCAGGAAACTTTTGCACTCCTGGCAAACTGACGACTGGCCTCATTGTGTTGCTCTTGCTCTTTTTGACCGAGTTGGCCGCTTGTTAAGGCGTCCATGCTGGGCGGTATACTGATCACCTCGATTGCAGTTGCTGTGATCACCACCACCTTCACGGAGCACTACCAGGATAAGTGCCGCATGCGTGAGGCAAGCCGGGCAGTTTGTATTTCTTGAGCCTCATAAGCCGCAGTGCCTCCGATGCCTGGAACGGACTAGTGTTGCGAGTTTCTGTTCATGCTGAGGCAATGAAGCTCGACAGGATTCAAAGACGAGAGGACGAAGAAGGCCTAGGCAGGGATCGGAGAACTCGGACTCCGTACAGGCTTTGGGAGTGCAATATACCTAAACCCTAAACCTGGACAGTCTCCATGCACTCTGCCTGCCTTGCGCAGGCCCCAACGGCACACCGCCTCCGCAGTCTTCCGGAAGGAGGGGCACTGTACTGTGGTGCCTCGAGCCGAGTTGCCCCTCGATCCCGTGAACTGTGAACTTTCAGCAGCTATCACTAGGATCAGAGCTGTTAAACCGAAACGCGGGGCAGCTACAATCTCCATGCAGGGAAGCGGAGAATCCTATCGTTGCCTGGGATTTGATGGAGAAGGTCGGAAGCCCATTACGAGAGGAGAGACGATGAGAGATCTCTTTTGGGAGAAGGCACCATGTTTCGAGTGATATGGTTCCCCTGTAGCCCACCTCAGGATGTCTTGAGGCACATCATTCGCTTAGAAGCGGAGCTTCTGGACAGACCACTCCGCGAAAGGCCATTGCTGCTGCATGTTCATGTGAAGTTCCCAGTGTTTCGTTTCGACACTGTATGTAACAACAGTATTGTAGCAGTATAGTGATGACCCTGAAGTTGTTCGAATCATGCTTCGCTGCTGTATCATGTGAGGTTCGCAGGTCACATCTGCGAAAGCAAGCAGCGTCTGCGTGTGGGGATCCGATCATGCTCTTGTCAGGAACACCAGCAACAGCATGGCCATACAGATGCTGGAGGAGATTCGATGGGCTTGCTGCACCCACCTGCGACGCTTGTTTGCTTTCTCAAGAGTCGAGGAGCAAGCGAAGAACCTCTTCAAGCAAGGGAAAAGCTTAACACAGTGCAGCCGGCAGATGCTTCAGGGTTCCACAATTCACCTTGAACCTGCAAAGCTGTAGTGAAGAAGGCGCTTGCTAAAAGCTCTGTTGGCCAGACTTATGTGCCAGGCAAGTCATGATGGAAAAGATGAGTCGCATCACTGACGGGGAGGTTGCCGAAGAGCCTCCCGGAGAAAGAGGCGAAAGCAAAGCCAACATAATCTCCAGTGTTTGAGGCTGCATGTGCCGAAATGTCCGAAATGACTCACACCTTTTAAGCCTCCACACCGCGCCGTCGTTGGCATTCTTGTAGGCCTGTCGGCTGCGGCTGGCTGGTAAGCGTCTGATTGCTGTGTCACGACGAAGCTCTTCCTTTACGCCCAATCGCGCAGTGTGGCAGCGTTTGTTTTTTTTCGTTGGGATCGTGTACAGTCCGACCAGATCCAGAAGAGCCTGGGCAGGATGTGTGCTACGTTCTTCTCCGGATCAAGATCAACAGCTGCTCCCTGTCTCTCTCTGTCTCTCTCTCCCTCTCTCTCTCTCTCTCTCTGCCTCGCTCCTTCCACACAGCCAAGGGAAAGGTAGAACCCTCCCGCGTGCACGCATGCGCACTGGTCTTAACGTCTCTCTATCTCTCTCTCTCTGTCTCCTCTCTCCCTCTCTCTCTCTCTCTCTCTCTCTCTCTCTCTCTCGCTCTCTCTCTCTCTCTGTCTAAAATAAGTATAGAAAAGAAATAATAAATGTGCATTGCACATAGATATGAAGATGTGTCTGTATGTGTGTGTGTGTGTATGTGTGTGTTGATATCTGTACAATGATTTCTCTTTCAATCCATTTATGCATCTGTTCTCCTTGGTCAAAACTTTAGCATGCCAGTCAAAGCCCACCCGACTTGAACACACATGTGCCACTTCGGCTCTATTTCGCCGACATCTCAGTCTCTGCTCGCTGAAGTTGGCGCGGTCCTTAAGGCTCCATCAAGCTGCAGCTCTGCAGTATCAAAAACTTGGCCCAAACAGACATTGTTGGTGATTTCAGCATGGTTCCGACTAAACTCACAGATTGCAAAGGCATTGGACGGGGAAGGTTGATGTTGAATGCATGTACATGTATACGATATGCATATGTGTATCTACGCACATACAGGCACATGCAGAAGCTAATACCTCTAAACAACAAGCGATATGTACGCATGCCTGCATATAAAATGTGCGTGTGTGCGGGATAATGTTCTGTTCCACAAAGCAAGACAAGGAAAGGCAAGGCAGGCCTGCATGCGTGCATGGATGGATGGATGGATGGATGGATGGATGGAAGGATGCATGGATGCATGGATGCATGCATGCCATGTGCAGGTATGTATGAACGCCTATAGTGTAACGGAGTTCATAATATCTGCCTGAAAGTCCAGTCAGAATCCGCCGCAGCCAACTTCCGGCAGACGTTAATTCTCTTCACTGCTCGCGCCGGGGACATGCAAGACAGTGAAGAGTCACCGCCTGCGCATTTCTAGGTTCTACATGTAGCTGGTACTATAGCTTCTTGGGATTTGGGCAGTTATCAATAGCTTCGCTGATCTTTGCACGACTCAGGCATGTATGCCGTCGTAGACGAAGCGCTACGTTTACTCTTCGTGGATCCCATTCCTGTTGCGTTGAGTTTGGAGCCCTGCGCCGACGATATGCCACATCCCGTCGCAGCATGCCGAAGTCATGAAATTTCACTTGCTGTGCTGGCATGCATGCCGAGATGTGGACAGTTGCCGGCGTGCTTCTCAGGGTCAAACCCAGAAGCGGCAAATCTTGGGGTGCTACCGTTTTGTAACAGCTGCAAACGCAAGAACCGTGATTTCGCATGCCTCAAGTTGCCTCGATTCGTCCAGAAACACCTCAAGAACAGCTCTTTCTTTTGGATGTGCAAGAAAGCAGCGAAAGTCAGAAAGAGCAGTTCCTTAGCTTCCGTGGAGCCGTGTCCCAGTGGAGAGCAGCTCTCATGCTCTCCGATAATGTGGTGTTGGGCTCAAGTCAGCCACTCACCCTCGCCATCCTTTTCGAGGTTTGTGGGGGCCGATCCTGTAGCGAACCTCCTTGAAGCGCCAGCCTTTGACAGATTGAAAGAGAGAGGGCGGCCATGGGCCATGAAGACTCATAAGGCTGTCGTAAGCCCCGGTTACAACTTATTATGCTCAGTGACTACCGTGAACTGGAGCACAAGGCACGGTGCAAAGAGTTGCTTTGATGCCGATGGTAAGGAACAGAGAGGAGAAGCATGTGGCGAGATGTTTATCTTACATCATGTTGTAGTTGCCTTCTCCGACTTTTCCTGTCTGATCTTTTCTGCTGCTGAGGCCATGACCAGGGTCCCTGGGATGGCGTGGTCCGTGTTCCTCTTGAGCTCTGCCGATGCCATGCTGGGCAGGGTGAGCTCTGCAGCTGCCTGTCACGGACTCTGCCATGGCCATGACATATGGAATGCCAGGAGACCTCCCAGCCCGTGGTGCAGATGCTGCGGAACTTGGACCGCAACAGCGACGGCCTGGTCGACCAGCAGGAAGCGCTTCGCGTCGTGTGCCTATGGCCCTTAGGAGATAAAGGAGGTGGGTGGTTATGGTGGTTCAGTTGTCAGGAGCTGGAAACCTTCTCCGCGACGCACGGTCTGGACCGCGTGAGTCCACAGGACCGGACCGAGGGAGCTTTCTTCCAACTGCACGCCTTGTGGCCCCGCAGACGAAGTCCAGGGGGCGTATGCCCGATTCCTTTGGAGGCGTCGAGTGCCGTCATATCTGGACGATCCCAGCAGCCCAGAGTCAAAACATGTCCAGAACAATGTCTTGTAGAGCGCGAGCCGCCAGGGTGCGCTATCCTTAGACAGTCTATCCCATAAACCCATAGAGCACAATCATCGAAAAATCTTCCGGCAGGAATTTGCGAAGCTAGACTTGGACGGCGACGGCACACTCAGCAGCCACGAATTGAGTCACACTGTCGTGGAGTGCCTTGGTGGCCTCGGGTAAGAAACTTCAGAAGCACAGCCGTCATAGTCAGCTGAAGCAGGACCATGATGCGCATCAGAGGTCATCGTTCATGGTTTGTAAAGGGAGCGAGCCCTCGGATTAGGATGACTGTGAGAAGCCACCGCAAAGAAGTCAACGTCAACGAGAGTGTGGTTAAAGTATGCCAGAACGGATTCACTGAAACCAGCACCGAAATCAGTCCGGCAAAGCCACGGCCAACACCTCTGACGTGCACGACTCATGAAAGACACGGTGTCAGGAAGTGCAGAGAGGCCAACAGTTGGGTTCAACAGAAGCAGCCCAAAAGTGCGTGGTATCCCGCTTTCCTCGTAGGTCCAGCTCCGTGGGGAGCCAGCAGCTCCTTCCACAGCAGCAACCGCCTGTGCAGCTCTCGCCTGAAGGCGTGGGAGCACAGACTGATGTCTAAGGGTTTGGGATTTTAGGCTGTAAGTTAATGGGTCACTTGGGAGTGGCCGCTCTTGTGCTCCTAGCCGTCCAAGCCGTGGAAAGATGTCCGGCGGCCTGGAGTTGGAGAGCTGCTAAACTGAGGTCTTGATACATGCTTGTGGAGCAGAGTGGCTCGGATGTTTCGGATGGTCGTAGCCGTAGCAGCGGTCCGGATAGTGCCCAGAAGCAGTTCCACTGCAGCCGAGGGCCAGGTCGGCATCGTCCTCATTCTTGCATATTGTTGCCAGGTTTGGAGGAGCAGTTCCGCTCAGACTTGCCGGCGACTCCCTCGCCCTCCTCGTTTGCCATGACCGACGTGGCGGGCTTGATTTCGACAACATTGTTGACACTGGAACCTGAAGCCGCTCTTCCAGTCTGGTCCCGAAACCAAGCGTGCTCTGTAGCAGCAGAAATCTCCTCGTCGCTGGTGCAGGACACAGGTCTCTGCCAGAGATGAGGGCAATGCTGCCTCTTCAGCAGCAGAGGCCGTTGTGAAGGCGTGGTGGAAGTACTGGCAGCAGCCTAGTATTCTCGGTGCAGCGACGTCTTCAGGAGCTGGCCGTTCAAAGCGAAGCAGAGGACTTTGCATGTCTACATTTTGCCGCGGCTGTTCGCGCCCGATGCTTTTCAGCGCGTTGTGCCGGTTCTGCCTTTAGTCGGCGCAGGACCAGGCCCAGGCCTTCAGTCGGCGTGCGATCGAGCTGAGAGCAAATGCGACAAGTCTGGCAAAGGCCATCGACAGGTTGAGAGCTCGAAGAGACTCCTCACTCACCATGTCTATGCTCAGAATCCAGTTTCTCACTAAATCCATTTCCCAAGCCCTTGAATTACCCCAGACGCTCGAGACCCTCGCAGCCAGGTCTCCTCCCAGCGTGCCTTGCGTGCCGGGGCGACGGCTGGAGAGGCGAAGGCAGGCCGCTGTGTGTATGAGAACATGTACTATGGGTGCATAGGCACAACAGAAAGTTCAGAGATGATAGTGCAAGCACAGATGAAGCTGCCTGAGAGCCTGCTGCGAGCCGAGGCCCGCGAGTTGATCCAGCAGCTTGAAGCGATGGAGCAGCGTGCAGCAGAGGCCTGCAAACAGGAGCTCTTCTGGATGCATTGTGCTCAGAGGCCGTTTAGCGAGTTCTTGCGGATGGTTCCGTGGTGTCAGTGCGAGCCTGCTGCTGGTGTCGAAAGGCTTGCAGACACACCCACTGTCATCAGTACTGTCATCATAATCCTCGGAGCCGTCAAGACGCGGGTGTGATTTATTCTTCCAGGATGTGCTGAAGTGGCTGCACCTGCTAGACTCTAGTGACACCAGAACTTCAGAGTCGGCACCCCTGCGATGCAGATCCCAGAACCATAGGAGGCCTCTGCTTCTTCCGGCTCGCAGGCGGAGGCGCAGGCAGCAGCGCTTCGGAAGCGCGCAGATGCCGAACTGCAGCAGGCGTGCGCAAGGAAATCGCGGTTTCAGCTGTACTTGTGTACTTTTGGCCTTCAAGATGTCGCTTCGACGACAAGCTTTGCATCCGAAAGCTGTTGTTGACCAGCGGAAACATTCATTGCGCCGCTTTGCGATTGCTGCGGCAGGCACTTATGCGAAGGGTCTGAGTCCGCGCGAACATTTAATCCCACAGGCGTGGTGAAGGGCGGATCCCACACTGCGACGCTGCGAAAACGAAAACAGTTGATGAACCGGAAGTAGAATTCCTTGCTGTCTTGCTCGGGCTGACCAGAGTTTTCACGTGTGACACCTATCAAGACGCCAGTGTGCCATGAAAGGGTTG